CACAACTACAGAGGTCAGGGCGACAAGCCTGTAATCATTAAGTCCGGTGAGCCCTGTTTTTTGGGGGACGGAGATGATGGAGGAGGCGTTGAAGCAGGCTGGTACATGGCAGGTCTCCAGTGAGGTGTTGAAGATGTTGGTAAACACAATGCTTCAGGATGAGCCGGTTGCTTTGTGGGGGTTCTGTGATTTAAATATCCTATTGAAGTCCCTCTTCGGAATAGAGAGAGGCGTCAATGTGATGAGGATGAGGAGGTTGTTGGGGGGTCCCTATTGTGCTGGGAGGGAGAGACTGGGGGTATGAAGGGGGGGGGATGAATTCAGGACTGCTCCTTTGTCTGTCAAAGCAGAAGTAGAAATCGCTTAGCTCGTTAGCCAGGCGGAGGACGTGCATGAAGTGGGGGGGCTCTGGGCATGTAGTTGGGAATCATTCTGAGGCCCCTCCAGACTGATGTAAAATCGTTAGCAGAGAACTGCTGTTGGAGCCTCTCTGAGTACAGCCATGTACTGGCATCTCTGACGGCCTTGCCAAACCTGTATTTTAACTCTTTAAACAAGTCCCTTTCCCCACTTGTAAACGCCTGATCCTTTTGTACCCATAGCCGTCTGAGTTCAGCTGTAAACCAGGGTTTGTCATCGTTGTAACTCACCCTGGTAGGACACAGCTGTCTTCACAGAAGCGGATGTAAGCCGTCACAGCCTGTACATACTCATCCACTACTGGAAGCAGTCCTGAAAACATCCCAGTCCGTACAGTCCAGACACGCCTGGAGTTCCTCCTTAGCCTTACTGGTCCACTGCCTTCATTTCCGGACAACAGTCATACAGACACTTTCTGCCTGTATGCAGGAATCAGATGGATTAAAGCGTGGTCAGTGTCCCAGTGCAGCATGAGGGACAGCGTGATAGGTCCTGCTTATAGTGGAGTAGCAGTGGTCCAGAGTGTTCTCCTCTCTGTTGGAGCATTTAAATAATTGTTTGTATTTGGGGAGTTCATATGTTAAAGTCTCCAATGACCATAACTAAGCAGTCCGGGTTGGTCCGCTGCACACACAGTATCTGGTCGGCGAGCCTCCGTTGTGCGTCCTGCACATTGGCATGTGGAGGAATGTAAACACAGACCAGGACAGGTGGAGACAGTCTTACCTTCAGCAGTGGGTGAATCTTATCCACAGGCAGAGCCAGAGGATTCCTCCTCTTCCTCTTCTCAATGGCAGCTTGAGCATCAGCTATCGCCCACTTATCTATGGGGTGAGGGAAGCTTCTCTGGACCCGCTCCTGGTGGGAGGGGGCGGGGAGACAGGCATTAAGAATCTAGACTCTCGTCATAACACCAAACATCTGTGGTCCAAACATCTGGTGTTATCATCTGGACCTTAAACCCATCCCTGTGTGAGAAGTACTGTGTCTGCTGTCTGGGTTCAACTTATTATTACTTTTAGCAAATAATCACATGGTCATAAACACATATGTGCATGAGTGTATTACCTCCACATCCTGCACAGTTCTGGGTTGAGCCTGACACAGCATGCTGAGCAGCAGGAGGATCAGCTCCTCAATGTACTGAAGCGCCTCCTGCTGGGAGACCAGGTTAGGATGCACCTGATTGAGAACCTGCAACACACACAGTCACAAAGCGTTTTGGCATACACAGATGAGACCAGTGGATATCGGGGACCTAATTTATCTTAGTCTGCAGGTATGGGGCTGCCACCAGGTGTAGCAAAGCAGGTGTTACAGACTCACCTGTAGAACCGGGTTGTATGCAGTAGAGACTGAATGTTAGACTCACATTCATCAGTTGACACAAACACAATCACCCAGTTTCTCTGTTTCATGCTGCTGCTTCACAATAAAAGCCTTTCTGCACTTATCTTAATGTGGCGGTGTGTCTCCCTGAACAACTTATTTGGTAAGGGACAGTAAAAGAGATGATCACCTGTCACATAACACAGTTTATACGGTTTACCAGACAACCCGACCTGTGTGCGTGCCTGTGATTGTGAGTGTATTTCTACACACCAACCTGAATGTGTCTGTTTGGCCGAAAACAACAAACTGACTTCAACCAGCTAGTCACAGTGATTAAGGTAACAGGTCACAAACTCGTCATGCCTCACCGAAGTACTTAGTCATCATGAATAAATTAATCATCTATATATATATATATATATATATATATATATATATATATATATATATATATATGTGTGTGTGTGTACACACACCCATATGTGTGTGTGTGTGTACCTTCTCCAGAGAAGACACCAACAGGCCTCTCCACTTCGGTCCGTTCTCCTCGTTGAAGAAGTCGTACTGCAGCGGTGCCGCCTGCATTTCTGCTGCTCGGTTCACCCGTTTACATGGACGTTACCGGGATGAACCTGAGTCCGGGAGGGGGGCAGGAGGAGAGGGTGAAGCCGTGAGAACATCCAGCGGGGACAGGCCGTTCCTCCAGAACAGCTGTTGTCTCTGAGACCATCGTCTGCCACTCCAGATGTTACGGCTAACGGTTAGCTCCGTGGCTAGTAGCTAGCTATTAGCACACTGAGCAGTCACCACTCCATTCGAACGCTTACTGTGACGGGCACTTTATGCTGCTGTTAGCATGTAGCCTGTGTAGCTATCGGTCCACGAGCAGTAGGTTAGTGAGCCGACAGGTGAGCAGCTGTTGGTCCAGGTGAGTGTCCAGGGATTGCGGATACACAGTGTGGGTTCTTTGGGTTATTCAGAGGGCTGCTCAACGTTCTCCGCTCCTTTACTAACATGTTATCCCGTCCGGCGGAATGCTCCGTTACATTAAACCGCTCCTCCAGTTCTCTCACCGGGACTCACACCGGAGCCTGACAGGCGGACAGTCACCGAGCTGACGGCCGGTGCCCGTGAATGCTTGTTGGTTGTTGTGACCGGTGCACTGTAGGGCAGACTGTTGCGCGCATGCGCAGTGGACATGTTATGACGTACATCGTTTGTGCTTCATCGAGGTCGGCGCGTGGCAGCGATAAGGCAACATACTAACACATGTACACGTATACATCTACAGACATGGACAAGGACACACAGGGAGACACATACACACATGCAAATACACATCGATAGAGACATTACCATGATTATGTCTCTCCACGAGTTAACTAACTATACACGTAACACCATCATACGGTAAAACATCACGTCATCATACACGAGGCATCATGTCAACATGACGTCATCATACAGGAAACATAATATAAACATGATCTCATCGTGCGTGACACATGGTGTAAACAGGGCCCCGTTCCTCGAAGGTGGATATCTGAGTTTTCAGGATAAGATGATTACATTACAATAGTTAGAGTAACGTTTTACAGGGAGAGAGTTCTTCCAGATCACAACGATCCGTTTCAACATCACGATGACGTCCTGTATGAGTGCTATGGATGAATGACGGGCGACGGTCACTCATGGAGGAACTTGGGAGCACCTAAACCCCTAATTACTAAACCATGGGTTAAGAATGCAATGTAAGTCGCTTTGGATAAAAGCGCCAGCTAAATGACCTGTAATGTGATGTAATGAATGCTGTTGACAAGACATTCTGGAGCCATACATGGTGTTCACCACACGCCACTGCCGAGCATTCACTGTCTCACAGGCCGTCTCACAGACTGTCCATGTTTGTACAGTGTCGCCGATGCAGGGAAAGCCGCTGCATGCCGTGAAAGACAGAAGAGGATCCCTCTATCAGGATGGACAGCCTGCAATGGGTGGCATGTAGACAGAATGAACAATGTAAAATATGTACAATACATTCAATTCATACCACAGAAATGATTCAAATATACTTCAATTCATTTTATTTTGTATAGCCCAAAATCACAAATTAGCCTCAGAGGGCTTTACAGTCTGTACACATGCGACATCCTCTGTCCTGAAACCCTCATGTCGGCACAGGAAAAACTCCCCAACAAATGAAAAAAAAAGGAAAAAAGGGAAGAAACCTTAGTGAGAATGTCAGCAGGCGGGATAATTGTGAGTAGCAAGCCAGGCACACGACAGCACCACTGCAGGGGGAACCACCATCAGATAGAACCACCATCCATCTACTTGAACTCCTCATATGCGTTCATCTCATCATCTCCTGCTCGTCTTCCTTTGACTTTATTTACCGTTGTACTGTTAGAAAATCCTGGTTTCGGCGATCCATGCTTCCCCCTTTTGGAGTGTGATGCACACGACCGATTATCCCGATGACGGAGGTCTGCTTTAAAATACTGAGACTGTTTAAGAGCGGATCAGCCTTAAACATGATGTAAACACGACATCATAATATTACATTACATGTCAATTAGCTGACGCTTTTATCCAAAGCGATTTTACAATAAGTGCATTCAACCATAAGGAAACAAACTCAGAAGAACAAGAAACAAGAAAGTGCATAAAATTTATAAAATAAGCCATAAATAAGAGCCATTATAAGTCCAATGTAAGTGCTACAGTTAGTTAGTGTGTTAGTGGAGGTAGAGTCTGAAGAGGTGTGTCTTCAGTCTGAAGATGTGAAGGCTCTCTGTGGTCCTGATGTCTTCAGAGACCTCCTTCCACCATTTAGGAGCAGGACAGCAAAGAGTGGAGATCTAGTCGAGTGTTTTGCTCTCAGTGAGGAGGAACAAGCAGTTTATCACATGCAGAGCGTAGAGGTCAGAGGTCGGGATGTCGGGTTGGACCATGAGCCTGAATCAGTACCTGCGCTGCCTTCTGAGTGAGAAGAGGACGTGTTCTCCTGATGTTGTAGAGCTTGTATCTACAGGACCGTGTTGTCGCAGTGATGTTGGGAGTCATATATATATTCACAAATCAAACAATCAGGTTTTTTTAGACACATGACATAGTTTTACTGTGAAAGGTAACAGGAGGTAAATACAACTAATAACAGCACACTGTTAAAATAGTTTCACAATAAGTTCTGAGAAAATAAAATCAGAAAAGATTAAACCACAGAAGTAATTTACACTCAGACACGATGAAGAACAAAAACACAATATTTAATATTTAATCCTCAAATAACAACCACTTTCCAGTTTCTCCTTTACAAAAATATTCACTTTCTTTCTTTCCTCACTTGAAACTGAAACCTCAAACAACATATATTGTAGAGCCGGATCGTACCAGGACCAGGCAGACCTCGACCTGAACAACAACCAACGGGAGTTTATTTAAGTGTTGAACGGACTCTTGGGTATCTGTTCAAGCCAGAGCCAATCAGAGATTGATATGACATAAGATCACATGAATGTATGAGCCAATGGGGTGTCAGTTAGTTGGAAAGACCTTCTAATTGTACTTGATAGGTGGGACTTAATGACAAATAAAACTTGCACTGATTGGTCACTGATGTAAAAAATGAAACAGAGTGGGGTAGAAGATAAAGGAGAAGTGGATGATGGGAACGTGTCTACAGGTTCCGTTTGAGGAACCAGATCTCGTTCCTGCGTCTGGGGACGCCAGGGTTCTCGTACGAGGCGACCATGTACCAGTCTCTGCAGATGTTGTCGGTGACACCCAGTATCCCCCACAGCAGGCGGATCTCACCGGCCACGGTCTCCTCTGTTGTCATCCCGAAGAACGTCCTGACAGACAATCAGAGACCAGAACATCAGCAACAGTTAAATCAGAGACGACTTGAACTCACCACAAACAAATTAGAATATGATTCTTCATTCAGGGACAGTCTGTGAATTCAAAGCTGCATTTTGAGCGAATAATAAAGATGTCAATACAGCGATCAATATGATCCTTTATTTTTTTAGTGTTTCAATGAAGCACCATGATGATAATGATGACCTCACCTGGCAATGACTCTGATTGGCTCTCTGTACACAATGGTGATGTCAGTGTCCAAGGGTTGGGGGGGATTGGTCTGAAACTCTGCGGGCAGGAAGTAGGCCGTCTGGACGTCTTTCTTCAGCGCATTTCCATCCTCCATCATGTGGATGTTTGTAACCACCGGCACCGTAATGCCCAGATATCTGCCTGTAGACAATCAATGCAGAGACTTTATCATTACTTATCAATACTGACACGTGAACTAAAACACTGGCATGGTGCACTACTGTGTGTATACTATGGCTGCAAGAACCAATCGATCAAATCAATAAAAATCAATTAATGAAAGTGTTGGCAACAAATTTGTTGTGTTGCGTAAATTATTAGGCCACCCAATCGTCACGGGGATGAGCGTGGAGCCAAAAAGAAGAGCCAAGCCGAAGTAAAGGAAAGAGCAGCGACAGTTGTTGGGAATCACATGGAGGAGGCAGAGAAGAACAGTTGTGTAGAGTATGGTAATCTGTTTGCTAGTGCACTTTTATTTTTTACTTTTTATTGTTAATTTGATTTCCTTATTCCCTTATTTTTAAATTTGTAAATTGAACATACCATTTTTCTTTTCTTGCCATGTAATTTGTTTTGTTGTCCATTGTCTCATTGTCTTACTGTCCGATGTTATGCACCAACCGCCATGTCAAATTCCTCGTATGTTTAACATATTTTGGCACTAAATGTTCCTGATAAACAAAGTGTATCGATTGCAAAATATTCAAAATCAACATGAGCACCATGGTGATGATTCAGAGTCCTTGATGAACAGCAGTCTAAGTCCCTACTGTAAATATTAATACGCATAATGCGTTTCTTCCACGGAGTATTTGTCCTTTCTCGACTCACAGGTTTCCATGGATCATGGTTCTATCTGTACCCTGTTCCTGTCTCCTGCCGTGGCCCTGCTGCGGTTATAATCAATCATTATTTTAAATATTAATCATATTACTATTACTGTCATCATAAACCAACATGATCCTCTCCTAAAGTCTCTGTGCTGTCCCTCCCCACAGGCTTCTGTGGATGGTGGTTCTATCTGATGGAGGTTCTATGTGATCTGATGGTGGGTGTCCCTGCAGTGGTCCTGCCGTACATCTGCTTACTACTCACAACATTTTAATAATTTCTGTTATAGGAATTGAATGTATTATACATCTTTTACATTGTTCATTTTGTTATTGTCCATCGTAGTCTGTCCATCAGGAGACGGATCCTCCTCTGACGTTCTCACTGAGCTTTCTTCCCTTTTTTCCCCATGAAGGGTTTTTCCTGTGCCGATGTGAAGGTTTTGGAACAGAGGATGTCGCATGTGTACTGACTGTAAAGCCCTCTCGTAATTTGCGATAAAATAAATGTAATTGTTTATTGTTCATTGTTGAAAGGATCCCCATTAGCTGTCACCAAAGTGGGACGAGCTAATCTTCCTGGGGTCCAACAAAAAGAAAAATCACTTAACAATGATAAACTAAAAGCAGTAAAACATTGTATCATTATAAACATCATCAGAAATATTTCAGAATAAGTTATTACAGTATTACATTCATTATTTCATTCATAATTCATTCATTCATTATTTCATTCATAATAATGACCTCAACGCCTTACACCCGCTTCGAGTGTTCATGTCTATTTTATATCTATTTTCATTTAATGTATGTCTGTGTCTTCTTGTCTTAATGTTTTTATACATTATTTTGGGACTGTTGTTATGATGAGTCGCCAACTTAATTTTGTTGTATATTTTTACAATGACAACATTGTTATGGTGTGTTCTGCAGGAGGAAACATACCCTCCAAGAAAGAGCTAACCTGAGCCAGGAGCCCGTGGACATGCGCACACCTTTGTGTCTGAACAAAGGGAGTGAGAGTGAGTGAGTTAGTGTGTACAGTATCTGTGTGTGTGTCGGAGTGTGAGAGTTTGTGCACGTGCATCTGAGTGTGAGAGTGTAGTGTAGTACACGTGCGTGCATTAATGGACATTTGCGCTCACTTGCACCAGCGGGTAGAGAGCGCACATTATGGCCAAACTATGTACACATGTATGTATGTAATGTCGTCATGGCGCAGGGGTCGAGAGGGTAACCGCAAGACTCCCTGAGCAAGACACCTAACCCCCTAACCTAACCTAACCCCTCCCAAAGTCGCTTTGGATAAAAGCGTCTGCTAAATGACCTGTAATGTTCTTACAGGTCATTTACAGTCATACAGATGCATATGATCTTTAATGGCACGTTATGAAGGTCTTAAGGAAAGACTGGTGGGCGGGGTTAGTGGGGAGTGGATGGGCGGGGTTAGTGGGAGTGGATGGGCGGGGTTAGTGGGAGTGGGGTGAGTCTGACCTGCAGAGTTTTCTTTACAGATGAAGCGCATCAGTTTCATGAAGCTCACAGAGATGCTCTGTTCATACAGATCTTCTCCTTTCGTCACACAGGCCCAGTGACCAGCTGGATACAGACGTTCTTCATACAAAACCTCCCCCATCTGTGGAGGAAAGATGACAGGTTCGATTGGGTTAACCAGGCTAACCAAGGCCCTATTCCTCGTACGTGGTTCAACTAAGTCGATCAAATGTCCAATTAACCAGCTCAAACTAATGAGATGATTGATGTCAGGACCCTGCGCATCTCTTAGCATATTATTTCGACTTTATATCATGATTTCGATTTTCCAACCCCTTATTTCTTTAGTGCGGAAAGGGGCTTCTATAGTTCTGTGAATGCATAACTCCGGCCAATCCAAAGACGAGGTTTGGAACCAATTAGATACCAGTGACTGGGTCCAACAGCGAGCGAGCAAAAAACACCTTCGAGCACGCGCAGATTCAGGTTTTGCGAGCGCGTGAAGGACTTGAGGGTTGCGAATGTTTGATCTCTGCACGTGTGCAAGTCCTGTATGGACCTGATTTGCGCTCTCGTATTTTGACATTGATTGGCCTTCATAATCTCGGATTAGCGGATCAGCCTTTGAGGAACCGTCTCATTAATTTGAATCAGCTGTCATCAGGATATTCGCGCGTGCGCGTCCTACATTAGCAGGCGCAAGAGTCGATCAAATATAAAATTAATTCAAATAATCAAGGCAAAAACTGACACTGACACCACCCCCCTGCGAGGGCTACAAGCCCGACAAAGGAACGCAGATCCTATTGTGAGTGGTGGTCAAATGTATAGGCTCATTTTAGGTGCCTCACCACTCTAATCAGATTATATCTCTTCATGGAATGAATCAGCAGCCAATGAGAATAATGATCTCAACAATTTCAAAATAAGTGTCTAATTGATACAGTACATACATCCTCATAACTATTCATTTGTATCAGTTCATGTGTAGATGAGCATATAGAACTATGAGTTTTATTATGTGTGTGTGTGTGTGTGTGTGTGTGAATCTGTGTATGGGTGGATCAGTATTTATTACTCATAATCAGAAATTGAATCAATTGAAGCAGTACATGAACAGTGTGTGAGACAGTCTGCGGGACCGTCGATGCTCGGCTGTAATGTCTGGTGTTCACGTTACGGCTCCAGAAGGTAGGGTAAGGCTCGTACAGGACATAACAGATCTTTCTGATCTCTGAGAATTCTCTCTCTATAAAACTTTATTCTAACTTCATCAATGAGGAAGAGAGCGGCCATTTTTTTCCGGGGGAGTGATGAACTAATCCAGCAGCTCAAATGAATCTGCACCAGAGCAGGTTCAGGTTTTTGGATGTGTTGCTATGGTGATTTAGCCAAACTAGCTTCGAGGAACCAAAAAGCCTGATCTACGTCATCTTATCCTGAAAATTATCCGGCTAACTCAGTTACCAATTGGACCAATCAGGCGCTGTCTACTTTCATCTAGAGGTACAGGTGACTATAATGAAGTAATGAACATTAACTCAGGAGTAAAGCTTAGTTACAAAGTGGTATCGCTCATTCCTCACCAACCGCACCCAGCAGGTCACGGTGAACGGGACCTTTTCTGAACCCTTGGCCATCATTACATCACACGTCATTTATCTGACGCTTTCTTTCAAAGCGACTTACAATAAGTGCATTTAACCGTAAGGATACACAGGAGAACAAGAAACAAGAAAGTGCAATTTCATCAAATAAGCCAAGTTACAACTAGATAGATAGATAGTTATAGAGCCATTATAAGTACAACTAAAGTGCTACAATTTGTTAATCTTTTTAGTCAAGGTAAAGTCTGAAGCCTGAACTGCTAAAGTTAATGAGTGACATATAATTTCAGAGTCTTAAAATACAATAAATTTTACCATCATTGTAGTGCAAGTTAAGTAGATGTATACACCACTAAATACAGCTAAAAAATAAATAATAAGTGCTATGAGATGAATTTACAATGGCATTTGTAAATACATTTATTAGAGGTTTCTTAGTTAGCCGCACTGGTTTAATGGCAGGCTGCAGCGTGTCATCCGCTCTGCAGAGAGGGTGATCGGCTGCAATCTGCCGTCCGCGTTCGCTTCCAGGTCTCTGAAGCAGCTAAAAGATGGTAGCCGACCCCTCTCACCCCGGACAAAACCTGTTTGTGCCCCTTTCATCTGGCAGGAGGCTGAGGTCCATCAGGACTAAGACCTCCCGCCACACCAACAGTTTCTTCCCGTCGGCAGTCGGGCTCCTCAACAGAGCCGGTCCCCCACTGACTGACTATAACACTCCACCGGTCACTCCCCTTCATACTGCACACGTCACTTTCACATGTCACTTTTTGTTCGCTGCTGCACTTTATCTTGAATTTTGAAATATTTTTAACTTTAACTCCTTTATTTTTAAACTAACCCAAAGCATTATATTTTATTTTATTCCTTGTCTGCTGTTACGCACCAACCGCCAAGTCCTTGTATGTCTGACATATTATGGCAGTGAATGTTTCCTGATATATATATAAAAATAACATTATATATTTATATATATTGATTAATATACTAAATTTTTGAATAAGATGTCCTTATTATGTTGAACTGTTGGAAGTTTAAAAGCGGTATCCCGGGTAGCCCTGATCTCTGGTGGTTGGAGGTTCTTTACCTTCTCGTGGCAGGAGACTGGTGTGAAGGGCAACGTCTCCCTCTGCTGGTTGTTATGGGTCATTTCCTGTATGGGTCCAGTCATCTCTGTAACAAAACACAGGAAGGTGTGTTGATAGTACAAACAGGAGAGTCAGCGGACAAACTTTTCATTGATGACAATACAATCTAAAAGTTCAGAAAAAAAAGCAGTCGGCGCCATTCCCTCACCTGGAGCCACAGACACATGGTGGGTACTGGCCACCGCCCGCCAGTGTGTCAGCAGGCGCTCTCTCTCGTCTTCATCCATTGGTTCTCGGTTGTCAGTGATGTCATTGTCCAGCTGATCGTCGTCCAATGCGTCAAGGTCTTCCAGAGAGATCAGAGCCATCGCCGGTTGAGGACGAGACAACCTTTGACCTGAAGGAACGATGGATTCTGCATTATTTATGCCACTGTAACAGAAAGCGTTACACAAGCACACAATTGCTAACAGTTAAAGTCTTCTGGTCTAGTGTGATGGTATATAAAGTTCATACATTTAACATTTATCATTTAGCTTTTATACAAAGTGACAAAGTGATTAAAAGTGCATTCAATCAAGGGGAAACTCTTCAAGAAGGCCAAACTTTGAAAGTGCTATAAGTAAGTCCCTTCCTAAATGCTAATAAAGTGCTAACGAGTCCAGGTATAGTCGGTAGAGCCCAAGCGTTCTGCTGTCCTGATGTCATCGGGGAGCTCATTCCAGAACAGCAGTTGGGATGTTGTAGAGGGTTTAGCTGTCGGTGAGGGAGCAACAAGCAGATTGATGCAGAGCGGAGAGAGAGGGCAGGGACGTGAGGTTCGACTACGTTCTGGAAAAAGACTGGACCTGATCGTTTCGCCGCACGGTACGCAAATACCAATACCAACGGTTTGAAACAGATGTGGGGAGAGCACTAGTAACGGGAGTGAAGGGAGCGGAGTAGTGCAGGTTAATTTAGGTTGGACCAGCTGAGCCGGAGGTCGGATGGCGCTGGCAGGTGAGATGACCAGAGCCTGCAGAGTGTTCTCCTGATGTTCTTCAGCATCTATCTACATGAAGATGTTGTTGCTGTGATGTTGGCAGTGAGGGAATGTTGTTTGTCGAGTATCACATCGAGGTTCCTAGCAGTCAGGGTGAAAGACAACAGTCAAGAGTCTTTCCCTGGAAGGAAAAGAAGTTCAGTCTTGTAAAGGTTCATCTCCAGGTGGGGTGCGGCCATCCACTGAGAGATGTCAGTCAGGCAGGCAGAGATTCTGCTGCTACTTGTGTCTCAGATTGGGGAAAAGAGTGGATTAGTAAAATACATGACAAAGTGGCTTCGCTGAAGGGTGGAGGGAGGCGGGGAGGGTCAAGGAGGTTGGAAAATATGGAGAAGAGTAAGAAAAATGAGGCTGGTTTGAATCACAGGTCATTTTGAATTTGATAAACCTTGAGATAACATTATATATATATATATAACCTCTGCCCGTCCGACCACCTGCCCTCTTGACCCCATTCCATCACATCTTCTACAATCTATCGCACCTGACCTTCTTCCGTTCCTTACCTTTCTCATCAACAACGCTCTGTCATCTGGCTGTTTTCCCAATTCTCTGAAGGAGGCAAGAGTCAACCCTCTCCTGAAGAAACCCACCCTCAACCCTTCTGAAGAAAACAACTACAGACCGGTCTCTCTTCTTCCCTTCTTGTCCAAAACCCTTGAACGTGCTATCTTTAATCAACTCTCCTCTTATCTCCACTGTAACAACCTCCTTGACCCCCACCAGTCAGGTTTCAAGGCAGGCCACTCTACAGAGACTGCTCTCCTTGCTGTCTCTGAGCAACTCCACACTGCTAGAGCCGCCTCTCTCTCCTCTGTCCTCATCCTTCTGGACCTCTCTGCTGCATTTGACACGGTCAACCACCAGATCCTTATTTCCTCCCTTCAGGAACTTGGTGTCACAGGCTCTGCTCTCTCCCTTCTCTCGTCCTACCTCGATGGCCGCACCTACCGGGTAACCTGGCGAGGATCTGTGTCGGAACCTTGTCCTCTTACTACTGGAGTTCCTCAGGGTTCCGTGCTCGGTCCCCTCCTGTTTTCGCTTTACACCAACTCTCTTGGCGCTGTCATTCGCTCGCATGGCTTCTCTTACCACAGCTATGCCGATGACACCCAACTAATTCTCTCCTTCCCTCACTCGGACACCCAGGTGGCGGCTCGGATCTCTGCCTGTCTAACTGACATCTCTCAGTGGATGTCCGCCCACCATCTGAAAATCAACCCCGACAAGACTGAACTACTTCTCTTTCCCGGAAAAGACTCGCTTACCCAGGACCTGACAGTCAACTTTGGAAACTCTGTGCTAACGCCCACTTCGACTGCTAAGAACCTCGGCGTCACACTCGACAACCAACTCTCCCTGACTCCCAACATCACTGCGACAACGCGATCCTGTAGATACACGCTCTACAACATCAGGAGAATACGTCCCCTTCTCACTCAGAAGGCAGCGCAGGTACTGATTCAGGCTCTTGTCATCTCCCGCCTGGACTACTGCAACTCCCTCCTGGCAGGTCTCCCTGCCACCGCCATTCGACCTCTGCAGCTCATTCAGAATGCAGCAGCTCGACTGGTCTTCAACCTTCCGAAATTCTCCCACACTACTCCACTCCTCCGCTCTCTTCACTGGCTACCGGTGGCCGCCCGCATCCAGTTCAAAACACTGGTGCTCACGTACCATGCTGTGAATGGATCGGGTCCAGCTTACATCCAGGACATGGTCAAACCCTACATCCCTACCCGCACTCTCCGCTCTGCATCTGCAAAACTACTCGTCCCTCCCCCACTGAGAGCAAAACACTCGACTAGGTCTCGACTCTTCGCTGTCCTTGCGCCGAAATGGTGGAACGCGCTCTCTGAAGACATCAGGACCGCAGAGAGCCTTCACATCTTCCGCCGCAAACTAAAGACACACCTCTTCAGACTCTACCTCGACTAAAGACTAACAAATTGTAGCACTTAAACTGTACTTGTGACGTCACTCATCTATAGCAAATTGTAAATTCGCTTATTTGAGGAAATTGCACTTTCTTGTTTCTTGTTCTCCTGAGTTTGTACCCTATGGTTGAATGCACTTATTGTACGTCGCTTTGGATAAAAGCGTCAGCTAAATGACATGTAATGTAATGTAATGTAATATATATATATATATATATATATATATATATATATAAAATGTTATTTCATATATATCTTAGTGAAAAGGCCGTGAAGCGGTTCCGTTCTGGTTCGGGAGAACCGTTAGATCAACGCGTATCCAGTTCCTGCAGCTCACAGAGGACCCGGTTCTGACCCACAAGGAAATAGACAGGCTTCAGTTAGCACGCTGAGGTTAGCATAGTTAGCATTGGAGCTATCTGCTGCAACTAGCCTGATCAATATCGTTAGCATCGTTAGCCCATGTTACAAACTGGATCAGAACATGTGTATCTCACCTGGTTCTGCTCAGCCTTCTATCGCTTTAATACTTCCTCAATCACAACAAAAACACGGCCCTTCTTCTTCTACTACTTCCGGTATAATCAACGTTCCTAACATTTCAAAATAAAAGTCTGAAAATCCTGTTGGAATTTTACATGACATTACAGGTCATTTAGCAGACCCTTTTATCCAAAGCGACTTACATTACACTTTAAACCCATGGCTTTTACACATTTTTGCCCGGGGAGCAATTAGGGGTTAGGTGTCTTGCTCAGGGACACTGGAAACGAACCACCAACCTTGTGCTTCCCAGCACACCTTCTCTAACCCCTGCGCCACAACAACCCCGACGACCTTTACAATAAAAATGTCAAGATTCAGATTCATGAATATTATTGTTTTTCTTGTTACGGCCAGATGGCAACTATCTATGTTAAAGGTATAGCCTATATTCTCCTCGTTTTATGAAATTATGTATTCATCAATTATTCACTGTAAAGATCCTACTGAAGTTTCATCGTTAATTAAGAAATATCTTACAGAACTGGTTTTTAAACTGTGTGGTAGAACTGTAACATTGCAAATGAAAATCCACTCATTCCCATTGAGATTAAGTTTCTCTCAATATTCAGAATAAATATTCACATTTTTGAAAAAGTAAATGTTCCTCTAACATTATATAGGGGGCGATCCGCCTGTCGGCCCCTTCTCTGCAGCTCCAAAGGGTCTGAAGGTCTGAAGTTCTTGTTCAGATCTGTTCTGGTTGTCCAACTTGTCCTCCACTCCTCTGGCGGCATTCCCAGTCAAATTCTTTGTTCCTCCTACTTTTTTTACTCTGGTTCCAGCTGTCAATCATCCAGCTGTCGATTATCTTTGCGTCTGACTCACCAACCAAGCTGATGAATGATAAGTGTTATTAATGTGATGAGTGTAACAGTGTGTAACCGTGTCTCTTTAAGGTGAATCTGTGCATAGTTAGTTCCGAACTTATGTCTAGTTTAGATTAGTTAGTTATTTCTGCAAGGTCAGAGGGCAAAAGCAGAAAGTGCCAACCGGGCATACAGAGTTCTGATAAGGATGAGAGTTAGAGACACACCATACTTACGACTCACGCTTTGTTCGTTACGTTTACATTATTCTTAGGAGACCACATATTGTAAATGCAGCAGAGAGGTCCAGAAGGACGAGGACAGAGGACAGAGAGGAGCTCTAGCAGTGTGGAGCTGCTCTGAGACAGCGAGGAGAGCAGTCTCTGTGGAACGGCCTTGAAGCCTGACTGGTGGAGGTCCAGGCGGTTGTTACGGTGGAGAGTTGGAGGAGAGTTGGTTAAAGGTTCAGGGGTTTTGGACAAAAAGGGAAGAAGAGAGACCGGTCTGTAGTTGTTTTCTTCAGAAGGGTTGAGGGTAGGTTTCTTCAGGAGAGGGTTAACTCTTCTCCTTCAGAGAATTGGGGAAACATCCAGATAACAGAGCGTTGTTGATGAGACAGGTGAGGAAAGGAAGAAGGTCAGGAGCGATAGATTGTAGAAGATGTGATGGAATGGGGTCAAGAGGGCAGGTGGTCGGGCAGGCAGAAGTTTGGCGTCTTCTGTGCGGTCTGCGACGAGCCTTTTCACTTTTAAAACTCGCCTTAAGACTCACTTGTTCACGTTGGCCTTTGGCTGAGTTAAGTCAGCTGCATTGGATCTTTTATTTGTTTGCCTTTTACTGTTTTACTGTTTTTTGCTTGTTTGTTTGTTTTACGTTTGCTCATATTGCTTTATTGATGCTGATTGTTTTTTATCCTGTGAAGCACTTTGGCTGGCCACTGGCCTTTAAAAGTGCTACATAAATAAAAGTGACATTGAAATAGGGGATTCAAGGAGGTTTGAGAAGATCGAAAAGAGTTTTTTGGCCTCGACAGAAACTCCTCAAAATGCAAAACACCGATTGCTTGACACTCTAATCAGTGAACAATCACCATGTGGCGTTTTGACAAACTGAGAGTTTAAGGATTCAAGCCTTATTTGATTCAGAAGTGAAGGCAAAACAGACTTAGATCAGGTGAAACCCAGCAGAGTTAGGAGGGCACACTGCTAGTTAACTTAATAGTACAGTCTAGAGCACCAACTGGCACTAAAAAAGTGAAAGAGTTTAAACAAACTAGGAGCCAAGATAACCTCAAACAGAGAGAACTGGCAGTAAAACGGCAAGAACTAAAGCAAATCATTACTTGAAATGAACTTAAGACACTAGAATCAACAACAAATTTAGCAGACTAGCTTGGTTTAAAGAAAAAGATACTTAGTCCGATTTCAGGTCGCCTGGATGTCTGGTGGCCTTGTAGAAGAGATGCACGCTCTCTGAAGACACCAGGACCGCAGAGAGCCTTCACATCTTCCGCCGCAAACTAGACACACACACCTCTTCAGACTCTACCTCCACTAAAAGACTAACAAATTGTAGCACTTAAATTGTACTTATAACGCCACTCATCTATAGCAAATTGTATATTGGCTTATTTGAGGAAATTGCACTTTCTTGTTCTTCTGAGTTTGTACCCTATGGTTGAATGAACTTATTGTAAGTCGCTTTGGATAAAAGCGTCAGATAAATGACATGTAATGTAATGTAATGTAATGATTTGATAATGTATTGCGGCGGGAGAACCTGCTCCTCCTCAACGCCAGTTTAGGGCCAATAGAAATATCTTCTTCTATATCTACAACAAATACAGTTGTACTGAGTTGTTCTACCGGCCTGCGGGCCGACAGAAAGGCTCCTGCCTTTGCAAACGCAGCGCTGATACTTGACCTGTGATCTGACAAATAAAGCTACCAGAACGAGAGGACAAAGTTGTTTGGCTGAATTCTTCCAGATATCCCCAACGGGCTTCCAATTTTGAAAATTCCACCTAACGTTAAATGAGTATCATGGGTTTGCCTTTATTGAGAATCTGGCACAACACAGCGACTTGCAAGTAGCGCAGCGTCTTAAATAAAGTGATGTATGTCTTAATGCTAGGCTTTAGAAATGAACACAACAGGGATTCTGAACTTACTACCATGAAATACTAACTGTTAGCTAATATTAGTACGCTGGGTCTAACAATAACATGCTTTTTTATTTGCCACGGTATAACTCTTACACGTCTTGAATAACTTGAATACTTAGAGAACCTGCTGACTGAAGTTTGGTGGCGTTAGCTCAGAAGAATAGTGTAGCCTAACGTTAATCTTGAACTACAGAAATACTGGGTGTACACACAATGAATGAACAGAATGAGATGCAAAAGAAAAATGTCACATACAAATGACGGCGAGTTTAATGCCGAAACATGGGGGGCTACTCCTGGACCAACCGAAAAGCTTAAGTTAATCAACGTTACGATACGTAGCCTAGCATCTCGGGACTGCCGAGAAGCATAGGAGGGTCACAGCTGAAGGGAATGAGGCTTAAGCATCTCCAGTTGATTCAGAATACTGCAGCACGTGTATTAACAAGAACTAAGAAAAGGGATCATATCACTCCTGTATGAACTTCTCTGCACTGGCTCCCTGTTAAATCAAGAATAGATTTTAAGGTACTTCTCCTCACCTACAAGGCACTTGCTGGTGAGGCACCATCGTATCTTAAAGAGCTTGTAACACCGTATTGCCCTACAAGGCAGCTGCGCTCCATAGATGCTGGTTACTTGTTGTTCCTATGGTTTTAAAAAGTAGGCTGGGGGCCAGAGCCTTCAGTTATCAAGCTCCTCTTTGGTGGAACCAGCTTCCACTTTCAGTCTAACTAGACCTCCCTCTTTACCCTGGTCTAACCAGTTCTCCCTCTTTACTCTGGTCTAACCAGTTCTCACCCTTCACTCTCGTCTAACCAGATCTCACTCTTTACTGTTGTCTAACCAGATCTCACTCACTCTTTGCTCTAGTTAAACTAACAAAAGCTTAAATTGACAAAAAGCTTTGTTATGTTGCCGGACCCTAGTAGGGAACGTAACAGTGTGAAAGAAAGGCGGAGAGTAAACCCCAGTGTGAGCCTCAGTGGCCAGAGGTCAAAGGTCAACACATTCACACCACAGAAGAAGAAAACACGGCGGTAACCTAAGCTCAGGACCTTCAGCTGAAATGTCAGTCGTCCATTTAAAAACATCCCGGGCTGAATTTTCTTCACCGTTAGCAAATATTCTAAAGTGCTCGAATGCAGGGTCTTTAATTTTTCATCAGCGCCCCCCCGAGAGGTGTGATAAATTATTCACATGGAGCTGAGGTTGACACTCAAACACATCGAGGGGGAAGAGAGAAACACAGCAGCTCTCAAACCAAAGTACTCCGTTGGTTAGTGAACAGATGAAGGTGCGACGTCATCAATGACATCATCAAGATGTCTAATATCAGAGAAGAGCAGTCAGATTATGTGATACTCATTTGTGTGTTTCTCAGATTCTTTATGAGGAAATAGTGGATCTAATTCAGTTTGCAGTGAAACTATTTCCCTCAAGTTTGACCTCATTCATGTGTAAGAGATGAGATAATTGATTGTTGACTTAATGAGCTGAGAGGTTCTAATCTGTTTCCATTGAGGACTACTGGTCCTGAGGCTGTGTCTTCATCCTTCACGCGCAGGTCCTGAAGGAGACATGGATACATTACATTCAAACAACAACTTTCTTCTTTGTCTTCTTCCTCCTCATCCCCCTCACTTAATGGAAGCTCGCAGGTGCTCCAGCTTTCATTTGATTGGTTGACACAACGTTGCTACTGACACTTTTCACTATGAAAGTCCCAATAGACCAAGATCTGTTCGGCCGGACGGCCCATCACCACCTTTGAGTGTGTGGGTGAGTTTTTGAATCGTTGACTTCTACAAACACAGAAACACCATAATTGGTTCTAGTAGAAACACCGACCCGCCTCTAATTTACTAAATGACACACTAATTAAGACCGACCAGTTATAGCAAAGTGGAAAGCGACACCATGCAGCGTGAATGACACGCTAGATAAATGGATTTATACTTTATTAACTAACTATGACTAAAAGCATATCCATTTCAAC